TGCTCTCTCTTTCTAGTCCCTGTCAGGACTCTTGCTGCAGCATTTTGGATTAGCTGAAGGCTTTTCAGTGAGTTTTTTGGACATCCTGATAATAACTTCACTCTGGATGAGCTTCTGATTTTTTACTCAGACATTGTTACAACTGTCTAACCTGTAGACGAGCATGTTAGAACTTCTTCTGACAGAAATCCTTAATTTTTTCTACATTTTAAGGTTGTAAAAAGCCGACTTCATTAACAGAGAAGAAGTCTCGCTTGTAGATGTTTCCATGGTTCCACGGCCTGAATGATCACCTGCAGCTTTGTGAGATTTGCATTCAGGAAGAAAACACCTTAAGTTTACAGCCTGCTGTCATTTCTGTCTGGGTGTTCTGGATCTGCAGTACAGCCGGTCAGTCTGTCTCTTGTACCGGGTCACACATGCCAGCTTGTTAGGAACAAAAATTAAAAAAAAAACCTGGACCTTAGACTCAGTTTGTTACATATCAAATAAAGTTATGTGATTAAAAGGTGGTTAAACTGTAACTTAGTAGCCTGTTAAAAAGACACCAGAGGAGGTGCTGCTGTTACAAGCTTTACAGTTCTCTCAATACATATCTGTGCAACTTCAAAAGACTCCTAGATAACTTATAATCATAACTTAACTGCTATCACATCAAAAACATCAGCCAGTGCATTACTGAAAACCAGTATGTGGATGAGACAGAGGTGTTTCAGAGAAGTGGGCAGGAAGTGATGTGGACAGACTTTTTTATTTTTCAACTGTTAGGCATGCAGGTGGAAATATCTGCTGTTAACAAACATGTCCTGCTGTCAGACATGCAGGTGAAATAAAATGGACAACAGCTCAAAGGATAATCTGTGAACTACTCCCAGGGAAAGACAAGCTGAAGCTTTTACAGTGGCGCTCGCAGTCCCCTGACCGCAGCATTGCCAAAAATGAATGGAAGTGCGTTTACTTTGTGCCACGGTGCCTTTCAACAACGGCTTGCAGCTTTCTCAAGAACGGCTCATTCAAACTGCACATCCCCAAAGAAACCAACATTTAAAAAAATAAAACACAAAAACTAAACTCCTGTATTTCTGCTCTTTATCTTCAGCGTGTGCACGTATTTGATTGAAGGCCCAGCGTGATGACTCTCTGTGATTAGTTTCTCTCCTCTGCTCTCTGCTTCACAGCTGAATGAGCAACATTTGATCAAAGGACAGCGTTTTTATCATCAGCTCGCCGATGGCATCGTGTTTTATGTTTTACCAGCTTCGGCCTCAGTAGACAACTGAGCCGTCACCTGAAAACTGGACTCCTGTGAGTGCACAAAGACTTGAAGTGCAAAGCATCCTGTTATTCCACCAACTATTCAAGCAACACGGATCTCAGGCTGGGCGTGCAGAGATAATAAATACTGCACATAGGTGTGCAATCTGTTGCACCAGGACAATATGGTGGATACACACAGCGTCTAATTGTGTTAATGTGCAGTTCGAGTCACTCACCCCTCTTTGGGGAAACTCTGGTTGATCTCTACTTGGTGGTGACTGATCAGTTCAGCTGTTTTTGCATTGAACACCTGCAGAGAAACACAGCTCATTAGAAGCAGGAACAGAAATATTAAAAGCTTCATTTAATTAGGGAGCAAATTAAAGCTGCGACAGGTTAATTTTTCCAGTTATGTTTTTCCTTCCACCCACTGAGGAGTGGAAAGACGATATTAATCACTGGCTCGATCGCCTCTGGGTGCTGCCAGAGTATTGTAGAGAAGAAGGGAATTAACACGAGGCAGCACTTTCCCTGTCACCTGCAGTCAGACAGAAGTCAGCGTTTCTTCTGATTAAGTAATAGGATAAAGCTCCGTGCAGCACCACCCTCCTCTCACCTACAGGAAATCCTTGTTACGCTTTTAGGACATGTGATCCAAGAGTAGTTTCAACCCTAAAGTCTAAACTTTAGACTTCCTGACTCACTTTACACTGGAAATCTAACAGGCACAAACTCAGCCTGTAAAAAGAGAGAGCGTTGATGCAAGGAGGACGTGTGATGTCATCTTAGGTCAGTGTTGCACCATCAGTGTTAAAAGTCTGAATCATCACGCTTACTGAAAACTGATGAGAACTGAACTCAGTCTGAACTTGTTTTGTTTTTTTTACCTGCTCCCCAAAAACGTGACCTCACAAATACTGATCGTTGCAAATTTCAATCAGTGCTGCGGTCCCACACGCTCACTGATTCAAAAACTAAATAAAGCAATAAAGCTGCTTCTCTTCTGAGTTCCTCATCTTGATTTCAACTCCACTGTCAGCTGCTGACTCTAGGGCTGATTCTCAATCATCCACCCACAGCTTAGACATGTATTCTGCCCTTCTGACTGTTAATGACACCTCAAAAAAGGGAAGGGAACGCTGGATCATCAGAGCATAACTCAAAGACAGGTAAACGCTGCGCTCCTCTGGGGTCACCAAAGCAGATAACCTCCCTCCATCTCACCCATCCCTCACCCAACCCTCTGCATCTGTGAACCTCCTCTTCCTCTTTTCCCTCTTCCACATACATCCAAAGCATCTCAGCCTTCCCTCTCTAACTTTGCCTCCAAACTGCCCACCCTGAGCGCTCCATCTCACGTACTCATTTCTAAACTCGCGTCCAGTTGGGAAGCCGATTGTTTGCCGTGTCTCCAGGCACAGTGTCAGGAGCGTGGAGTAGACCCAGCAGCAGGGATGGTATCTGCTTATTAATGCGAGGCGGATCAGGAGGAGTGCTTCCAGAGTCAGAGGCATGTCTCTGACCGAGATATCAGATACTCTGTGAGGGTCGCATGAGGGCATTTTAGTGGGACTTGTGCTCACAGCCTGGCTGGCATTTTCCAGAGAACACCAGAACTGGCAGGTCCACCACCGATGCTCTCGTCTCTTCACAGACGAGAGCAGGTTCACAGAGTCTGGAGACACCGTGGCGAACGTTATGCTGCCTGTAACATCATCCAGCATGACCAGCCTGGCAGTGAGTCAGTGATGGTCTGGGGAGGCGTATCCTTGGAGGGTCACGCAGGCCTCCACGTGCTAGCCAACAGCACCCGGACTTCTGTTACATGCCAGGTTCTCAGACCTCCTGTTTGTGCAGGGCAATGCCCGGCTTCATGTACCCGGAGTGTGCAGGCAGTTCCTGGATGATGGAGGCGCTGATGCCTTCATCTCACATTCTCCAGACCTGATTCAAACTGAGACCCTCTAGGATGTTATGAATCGATGTTTTGGACTAACACAATGAGACAGGACCGCAAAGTAGCACATGCAACACCGTAAAGATGCAGTAAAGTTTGTTTTTATGAGATCATTACACATATACACACAAACGAAGGCTCTGTGACAATTTTGCAGTCGATCCGCAGCCAAATAATCAAGAGTCAAAATCAGGCGTTAGGTTAAAGTTTTACTGCTGCTCAGAACGACCATGATGTCAGCTGATGATGACACAGGAAAGGCCTTTATTTTCAGAGAGTTCAGCACCTGTGGACGTTTAAATCTCAAGCACCAAAAATAAATTAATTTATGATTCATTTATGAGTAGAAGCTCTTACGTGTCAGAAAAACCCACAAATCTGAATTTCTCTCTGTGCACTCCAACAGCACTTTTGCCTCCTCTGAGCCCCTCACTGCTCATGCTCTGTGCCAAAACTCAATTTTCCAGCTGACCTGGTTGAGGAAGTCCAAATTTGTTCAAAGTGATCATTCAGCTGGACTGATTTTAGCTCTTTGTACATGCACCTGAACACCACCCAAAGCAGGTGGAAGCTACAGGTCAGTGTGCTGCTCCAGTCCACTGGTTGCTTTTTCTATTTAAATCTCTGTTTAAATAGAAACATCATGATGTTCAAGCTTGTTTCTGAGCCGAGCACAACACAGACATAAGTCACGTGTTGATTTGCACTTCATCCACGATTACAGCTGTTTGGCCAAAGCCTCTGAGCACAGGACGGAGTCTCTGTAGTCTGCTGTCCCAGCTGCTCTCCCGGTCCCTGAACACAACATGAAAACAGCGAAACTTCACTAAAACTCACCAGAAACCTCGTGGAGCTCGTGCCCTGATCAATAGCAGCAACCAGCGGGTCCATTTTTATTTTCTTCTTCTTTAAAACGAGTGTTAAACACAGCCGGTGAATCTCCGCTTTAATCTAACACGACTCCTCGGTGAGGTGGAGAAGGACAGACGCCCGGTGCGCACGGTGCACACTGACACACAGACCTCCTCCTCGGCAATCACCGGAACCGGCCCGCAGCGAGCGCAGTCTCCGATTGGCTGCTCGCTCAGAAGGCGTTGGCCACACTCCGACCAATCAGCTGCGAGGGTCAAGTCCACGCAAAACAAACAACAACAAAAACAAAAAAAAACGAGGACACATAAAAACAAAAGTAACTAAAAATAATTGATAACGGAATTTTAAAACATCTGGATATTATTCAAAAATGCAAAAAAAACACATTAAAAAACAAAAAATTAATATCAAATATCATTAAAAAAAAGTTCTACATAACAGAAACATCTTTAAACATCTCCAAATAATAATAATTAAAACAATAAAGTAAATTAAAAAAAAAAAATCATTTGGGGCAGATAACCTTCACAGTTGACCCCTCAGACATGGCCTTCATGTGGGCCATCAGACTCTTTCAGAGCCCGGTCACCTTTAGTTTTTCGGGGATCACCTGCAGGCCAAGGATGGGGTTTGATTTGATGTGTAATCTGCTGTGGAGCATATTCACAGAGACCCTCAAAGACTGTGTAAAAATAACCTCAGCTCGTGCAGCTGGGCTGGAACACTTGTTGTCCTTCCGTCAGATCACTGGGAAGTCGAGCAGCTGCAGTTTGAAACACCAAAAAGATGGAACTGGATGACCCGAGATTATACGGGGAAGTCCATAGAGTCAACGGATAACTGTCTTTATATTTCTGATTAGCATTTATTGCTCATTCATTCTGAGGTTGGGTTTCATGAACTTTATAATCATGCAGTCAGGGTCATGTCTATTTGCCACTGTGGGGCCCACTACCTCTGTACAACCCCACAGTGGATTTTAAACCAGACAGTGTGGACTGAAGTGCACACACAAGCGCTAATTCTCAGATGTGTAGAAGTCACTGGATAACTGCCTGAAGTAGCTCCACAGCCATGCTTTAAACTTTATGCAGATCAAAGATTCAAAACTGATTCCAAGTTTTTAAAGCGTTAATCTTTCCTGATTTTATTTGTGTGCACAAATACAAGTCCTCTAAATACTAAATATTTGATTTTTAGAGTTCTTAGGGGTTTTAATCTTATTCAAGTGGGTTTTGTAAATGGACCATCTCTCAAGCTGAGTCCTTCGCTGTCAGCAGCTGTTGCAGCAGCTCTGGGTGACGACGTTTGCCTGCCCTTCTCTTCTTTCACTCAGAGTTTTCCTCTGATTATGAGAAGCCTATAAAAAGAACAGATCTGTATTTGGATCTGAGCTGTGATGGGATTACTACCAGCAAACTTTAATAGCTGATTCTGTCATTGAAAAAAAGATAAAGAGCTCACAAAGGAACACTATTCTGGGACTTCTTCCCCGCTGCCAAACTTGCTCCGGGTCACATTGCTTGCTGGCGTTTGTAGAAGAATGAATGGTGACCCCCTGCAAGTACAGAGCACATACCAGCGTTCATTCAGGCGAGGGTAGCCAGAGGCCCCACACACCACAGCGTCTTTTGTCTTCCCGAGGGGGAAGAACAGTCTTAAAGGGATGTCAATACCTCTAAAACAAGTAAACAATCAACATTTTAGAGAAGGTTTATTGTATAAAGGTAAAAATATATCACACTGCTGGGTAATTCATTCTGAAAGTGCACCAAACTAAATATACATTAAAAGCAGATGAGAAGGAAGCCTCTAACAAAGATACCGGTGGCAAAGAGTTGAACTTCCTGTTGGAGACAAAGCTGTGATTCCCTCTGACTGAACTTCTGGTCCCAGCTGATCTTTCTGAGCTCTGCAGTATGGTGCCACCTAGTGTCCAGTAATGCATCCTGCACCTGCTGATAATCAGGCATTTGTTTCACTCAAAGTCTCTGTTAAACAACAGCAAAACAAGAGAACCAAACTAAAACTTTGATGTTTTATGGTGTTCTTATTCCAACATGATGACATCAGCCTGTTATAGTAACACTGTATGCTCTTTCATGTGAAATATTACTTGATATGGTTTCTTTACCAGCCCCTCAGTGTGCCTGATAAGGATAAGCAGATAAGAGAACGTATGGTTGGATCGTTTGTTGACATTTTTTTTCAAGGTCAACTTTGATCTTGAGCGCTAGCAATGATGGTCAAGGTCAAATGTTTAGCTAACCTGGATATTAACATTTCTGATTGGCTAACACAGTTCTGTGATTAGGGTCATGTCACTTGCTTGATTGGTTGGTTTGGCATTAAATTATCGTCTTTCAGTTTTCAAGTCGTTAGCACTTTTTAACCCATTTGTTTTTACAGATAGAACAATGACAGGAACACACAGTACAGCAAACTCCCTGTGTGTGTTTTATTAACTGCAAACTAGACCAACTCAGAGCACATGCGCACACACACGCACACACACGCACACACACACACACACACGCACACACACAAACAAGCAACAGCGGCAGTCATTACAACATAGTGTTTTCATGGCTACTTCAGCACCAGAGTAACAACGCAGTGTTATGATCCTTTACAAATAATGTTTCTTTCATAAAATATATTCTGTGAGAAACAGTTTTATTTTAAAATAGACTTCTGTTGAATGTGATGTTTTTCTGTTCTAGTTACATCAACACTGCATGCAGAGAAACTACATCACAGGACGTTAAGTCCACCAAATAATCAATATGACAGTGAACTGATATGAAATCCTTCATGTTCACTGTGACTCTGTTTCCGAGGTGTCTGGCCCGGCGTCCGTCTGGCTGTCTTGTCGGCCTCCCGCTGCCTCCTTGCTCTTGGCTGCGTTCTCGCTCTGAGCCCGGTTCTGCTGCTCCGTCTCCAGAGCTTTCTCCATCTCTGTGTAGTAGTCGAGAGCTTTCCGGACGGGATCGATAATGTGTTGCTGCAGAATTATTGCAAAAAAAGTTTAAACTGATTACAATTTACTAAAAAACATGGATTGAATTTAACCATTTATGAGTTCCTTACAGTAGAAAAAGGGCGGCTGTACTTTAACACTTGCTGAGGACGGGTTTCTGTAAAGTAATTTCCTGTTTTATTTTGTAAATCTTACCCTGTTTACACTGTTCACCGTTCACTGTTTACCTGTGCTGTCTTTCACACCAGTTAGGGGTTTTTTTTGTTTATTTTAGTCTTTTCTTTTCATCTGAGCCACTTATTTAAGATGTTTTGGACACCTTCCAGTGAAAGTCTTCATTAAATTTTGCAAAGATACTTTTAAAGAAGTACATACAGTACATTTTCTCCATACTTTTGATTTTAATACCTCCAGGCAGGGGAAGAGGTTGGCCAGCTCGATGAAGAGAGGCAGAAGAACAAATCTGATGAAGCCTGTTTGAGACGACGGTTTGGTAACTTTGTCCCGGTCCATAAAGGGGGTAACGGGAAGGCCCTCCAACTTCTCCACATCACTCTGACAGAACGACAGGAGACAGATTTGACCCACTTAACTTAGTTTACTTCTATTGCTTTATAAGGGATGTTCAGCTGTGTGGCACACCCTCATCACTGTAAGGCCACGGTGGATTTAACATTTGAATTTAAAAGGTAATATATTTTAGTTTCTGTAGCTTTAAAAAGTGAAGTTAATCTGCATTTGTTAAAATGAACTGCACCAACAAGGTCAGATCATCTGAAAAAGAAATTCTCACACAACTTGATAACAGACTGTGTCTATAGAGAAACTCACAGTTTGTCTCTGCCCTTCAAAAATCAGCTGGACCGTCCCTGAATCTCATCGTAGAGCCAAAATATTTAGAGTTCAGGTTACTGTGCTCCAAAACATCCCTCTTTAAGTTACAGATATCTCATCAAAAACAGCATCAAATCATATTGTCACTTTGAAATGTCTTGACAAAGTTCAGCAGGAGTCGGTACCTGGTTGAAGAATTCCTGTAAAAGACAGTCCAGCCAGGGCTCAGCCACCTCCATGGGCCGGGCCTCGTTGGATATGTCGCTCACTTTGATCAGGATCGTCATTAGCTACACAAACAACAACAGTAAATAGATGTATAGATGCTTCCAAATTTCCACGATGCTCTGTAGTCTTACCACGTCTCTGTGGTCCTTGTTGGTGAAGTCAAAAACCGGAAGGATGGACTTGAACTTGTTGAGAACCTCATTGTGTCTCGACATGTCGGTGGCCAGAATGCATCTGAAACAATCAGTGCTCATTATAAATTCTGTGCTAAGATATCATGATGAACAAGAGCACTCAAACATCACAACTTCCCCACAGAAGGCAAAGGCTACACTAACACATTGATGTTTTTTAGTGTTTTTATTAAAAAATACTGATGTCATCTTATGACATCATTGTGACATTGTAGGGTGTTGTATTGAAAAAATAAAAAGTGTTTTGTACTGCTCTCTGCGTGCCCTTTCTTATGATATATTACTCAATATGGTTTCTACAATTTTTTTTCAAGGTCAACTTTGACCTTGGACGTAACAATGAAGGTTAAGGTTAAATGTTTAGCCAAACTAGGTACACGTGTCCCTCAAGGTCTAGCATTTTTACACAAAATTAAATCACCTTTAGCTGATTATTGGTTTCTACCGGCACACAGAATTTGAACATGATATCTTCAAAATTGTGGATGCTAGACTGCTAACAAACAGACAGACAGACAAATAAACAGACAGACAAATAAACAGACAGACATATTCCCTCCTTTTGGGGGGAGAAAAATTAAAAACATGACTATTGGAAGATGATCTCACTTGATGATCCCCTCTCGTATCCGTTTGTACTGATCCGTGGACAGATTCCTGAAGATGTTGCTCTCTGTCTATGAAACAAAGACTCTCGGGTCACTGTGGATTCGTCCATGCGTGTACGCAGGTTAATGGAGGGTTTTCTATTCTTACCCTCTCCAGTATCTCGAAAGCTACAGCACAGTGGTGGTTCTCCAGAGGAGAGATGTCATTGTAGCGCAGAGCGAGTTCAGTCCGAGCGTTTATCTGAAGAACAGTCAGACATGAGATTTTTACCAAAGTTCAAGCCTCAACCTTATTTTGGAAAACTGGAAAATTCAGATGAATAAAACATCACAGAGTGTTGTAACATCATCTGCACTGAAGTCCCAGCAAAACCTGTGTTGGCTGTTCTTCTACAGTGCAAAAGGTGGTAGTTTCGGTATAAATAACTGGTATAAAAGATTTTAAGCGATGAAACTACACAGAATTACATGGACTGGTTCTCAAAGAGTCTCAAAGCGACTTTTCCCTAATCTTAAAGGAGTTTCATTAGTATATGAAAGCAGTAAGTGCCATCCATTACATGCAGAAAATTGTTGCCATACCACAGTTTTACATCATCTAGGGAGAAAATGTGAACAAAAATCGCACCGAGCCAAATTTTCAGGTTGAATCAAAATTCTGTTCTCATATTCTGATATGTAGGCCGGGAGTGCTCTAACTCCAGCTGGTACAACAAACCACAATGCAGGCCTGAATTTCAGTACTAGGGAAGCCTAAAGAGTGTGCTTTGTGTACCTGATAGGCATTGTTGTATCCCATGTGGTCGAGGTCGTGGCAGACTGCAGAGGTCAGCATAATCAGCAGGTCAATGCTGTCCATCTTACTCCTCAGGTCAGTCAGCCAGATCAAACCATACATCTGCTCAGAGAGAAGACAAACAAAGGCAACAACACAAATGGAGAGAATGAAGAAGAAGGATTTACCTGCATTTATTGGTAACACTTTATAATGTCCGGTTTTTATTTCAAATTAAAATCTAATTGTATTTACCTACAAATACTTAAAGATGGGCACACTAGAATGAGGGGGAACAAGTCCCGTTCTTAGAGGAAACAAGCAAATAATTATACCGTAAGTAAATTTGAAAACTGTGTAATTTCATGATAATTTTGCAGAAATGCCAGGGTGCTAGATAGGCAGTGTTGGGAAGGTCACTTTTAAAATGTATTCCATTACAGATTACAGA